ATACACTGCAAAAATTAGCTATCTAAAAATAAAATCAAAACACTATATAATAATTTGAATCTTCAGAAATTAAATGAAATAACTTGCCAGTGCAGTAAAACAACTGAAATAAGAAAAATATCTGGGTAAAGATGAATAATCTCACACATTCTGCAATTGTTTAATTTCAAAACAAGATCTAAAATACTTTTTTTTGGCTGGATATAAGACTGTAAGAGTTGGTTAGTTGGACAGTTATTGCATTGTAACAGCACATATTTTGTTCAAACTGCTCGAGTCATGAATCWATCACGTAGCTATAAAAATTCTTTGACTAAGGTATGCAGAAGGTGTTTCTCGGCAGACGTCATATAAAAAAATTTCCGGCTGATGATGCTGCGTAAATGTAGCTGCAGCGACAGTTGCCCTGTTTTAAACCGATTCGCTACCAAAAGGAGACTAGCCGAGCTACGCAGACTCAAGAGTCGAACAAAACTTATTGTCTAAAAACAAGACTAGATTGTTTCTGACCAGTCTGGTGACAGCTCARCATGGCCGCCTTGAGCGATGCACTACTTGATTGCTTTTATTTCAGTTTGTTTTTCACATTAAATCACATCAGTGATTTCTGAGCCAGTCAAAAGGTCATTTTCTTCCAGTCTGATATGCAACACATCCAGGAACTATGCCTCATAGGCCACGGCAGCGTGAAGATAGGGATGAGGCATAAAAACAAGAAAGGTTACTAACAGGCCTCCCTTTTTGGTGTGACAGAAGAGAGAGAGTGAATCTGACTAATGATTGAGAGCCTCGGGGTTGGGAGGGATCAGAGGCCTGTAGATGAATCTCAAGTTACTGCGTCTGGTTTGCCTAAGTAAACATGTCCGTGTGACTTCTCAGGACTTGCTGACTGTCACATTCCAACCTGAAAYGCACTTTTAACAGCAGCTTATCGTCCACGTCTGCTGCAACTGTTGGTTATGGGTGGAAGCATTAATCATCACCATTTAGTTGTCAGCATATGACCAACGCCAGACATGGTTGTTGTCTTGTTTGCTAATCTCTGGCAAGCTCTCCGACAAGCAGTCAGAGGCAACAAGACAGCATTGTTCCCTGTTTTTGAAAAAAAAAAAAGGCTCACCTTGTTCCTCATCAGCCTCCTCTGCTGCTGCAGATTCCTCCTGTGCAGCCTCTGCTGGCACAAAAAGAAGTTGTAATCACATAGTGAGAGATTTTCTTTGTTTTTTTTTTGAAGTCACGGAGTTTGACGTTGACTCATCGCCCTTATTTAATGTGCTGTTTTTCTTTTTGTCAGTGATCTGTTGTTTTTTTTTCCAAAAGTTCACAATGAGGGTGAAAAGATAAATTGTAAAAAAAAATCTGTCGCACATTTGTTTTGCTCATTTTGTTTTTCTCTAAAGGAGGAAGTTTGTACCATATTTTCACTTTTATTTAAATTTTTGAATTGGTTCGGTTGTTGGTGTAATGCTACACCCCAGAGTGATTAAAAGTTTGTGCAAAATGAGCTCCACGCCTTTATTTAAAGCTTGCAACACTCCAAGAACTGGTAAAGTGTGTTTYCTGGTGGCGTGTTTGAAACGACACCCTCAGCGGATTAACACTAAAACAGAAAAAACACACTGAAATGTGGGCACAACACTTATTTAAGACATGCATTTGACTAAATATGTCGATTTTCAAGGATTCAAGGAAGTTTTATTGTCATCTGCAACACRCATAAATGTGGTTTTTGCTTGGTTAATATAAATATGTAAAATTCCGGGTTGATTGGCAAATTAAAACTCAAGTTAAAGTGTTTTATAACTCCATTTAAATATTGTTTTTTAACATATTTTCTTTGTTTTTAGTGAGCTTCATTTTATCTCTGATTGTACAGAAAAAAGACATCTTAATGAGGAGTTCAAATCGTTTAAATCAGCTTGATAATTGCTTTTTAAATCCCATTTCAAACACAAAATCCCCACCTTCCTCAGCCTCTTCGTCCTCCTCTCCTCCCTGCTCTCCTGGTTGAACGAAGCAAAGAGCTGATGAGCTGAAGTCAGTTTAACAGAAGTCACATAACTTTCAGGATCAGCGTGAGTAAGGTTTGATAAGTTGYATAGAGACAAAACCGACAAACCATTTACTGAGTCTCATTTATCAGCGTCAGAACTTAAAGGATGTCAATACCTTCAGCAGCCGGCTCCTCTTCTATTGTTCCAGGAAGACGAGGAGAAAAAAAGAACAATCCATACAGGAGGAAATCATAAAGATAAATGCAAACTGTGGTTTCACAGCAACCACTGGTGTATATACAAGACAACTGACTCTGATGCTATCTTGACTTACCAACCAAAAAAAAAAAACACTGAGCAACATCAATCGTTTCTACCTGCAGACTCATTCTGAGCTGACAAACAAGCTGAACCTCTTCAATTTCACTTTTCATTCACAAGAGACTAAGAAGAAGGTTTTAAGCTTCTTTCAGYGTAGTTATGAACACAGCAGCAGCAGGTTGCTATAAAAAGCACCACTGGATTACTCTAAGAAAACATCATGGTGGCATGATTGTGTGATGATTGTTGAGGTCTTTACCTTCCTCGACCCTGTGGAAAAACAAACATGTTAGTTTAAAACTGTCATCACTCAAAAAAAGAAGAAGAAAAAAGAAAAGGCAGAAATACATCAGAGTGTGACATCTGCTCAAAAGTTAAAGCTGTCAGGAAAACAGATGTAAGACTATCAAGAGTTACAGTCATGGAGACACAAGACAGACACAACAGAAAGAACACACTCCTCATACTCCTCCACCACTTCCTCGTTGTCCGACATGGTTGGGCACGTCCGGGCGAGCAGCAGGGGGGGAAATCTGAATATCAAACGTAGACACTTTTAATCCCACCTGGAGGTTTTTTTTTTCTTGCATCACAAACATTTATTATAAACTCACCTGAGGATTCAATAGAGGGAAGAAGAAAAGAGGATGATGGGCACCCTGAATGTGCAGCTGCCTTCACTGGCAACAAAGCAAGGTGAGAGTCAGAGCTGGTGTCAYGGGAGGAAAAGGTTCTAGGGCCCACTTGTTGTGTTATTTATAACTTTTTAGATAACGTGTCCAAACGTTTCCAAAAAAGGCTGCTGTGGAAGCATGAAGGGCCCAAAGCATCCAAACAAAGGCACATACAGGATCACCTTTAAATGGCACGCGGCCGCTGATAAAACTCAGGCATGCATCTCTTATCCACTTCCTCCGCCCTCTGAGATAAGCAGAATGATCTGCTTTTAATAAAACCATAAACGCCATAAAAAACTCACTGCAGACTTTTGTCAAAGTAAAACATTTTATTCCTTGAAAAGGCAAAGTAYGCCTACAAGTCCAGAGAGTGGTTCGAACTTTTTATTTATGTATTTATTTATTTATTTTTAATTTAATTACAACTCCAGCATTCAGTAAACATTGTAGCGTAAAGACTTTCACCTGTTTAAAGTGCTTGAGAAATGAATTATTTAAAAGATAAGACCAAAAAAGAGCTGGAAAAAAATGTCAACAAAAATCTTTGCCCTTTCATTAACCTTCCCAAGTTGCCTCCAACTTTGTCTTTACTCATTAAACAGCTTTCTCTTTTATTTTGAAATAYGAAGAAAAAGCAACGCAAAAGTACCAGACAACAGCCTCCAAACTGTAAAATATTTAGCCTCCCATCAATTATCTAAAGCAAAGTCTTTGCATCAGTTCATCTTGTGGACTTAATGCAGTGAAGATTTCTCGAAGAAACAAAAAGGTCAGTCATGGCATCCAATAGCAATCCAAGTCTTTGGCTCCTCTGTAAACAGACAGACGAGAGTTAATCATTTCAAATGTTGGACATAAACTTATTGTAAGGCATAACGACATAAGCCTAAAGAGCAAAGACTACACAAGTAATTGYTGGTTCTCTTTGTTCAGTATCAGTAGACTTAACTGTTAGACTTTACAAATGTCTGTCCATCACTTGTAGATTTTTCCAGGGGTGCCTTTTGAGACGCTTTCCTCCCCTCTGTTCTCAAACAGGCTCCTTTTACTGCTGATGTCCACATGTCTCAAGTCCTGCAAACAGGAAGTGACAGATTAGCCAAGATGAAAAAGCAAACAAACAAACAAAAAAAAAGAACAACTAACAAAACAAAACTGCAGTGTGCTATATAAGCTGTACTAAAATATTGCGTGTGTAAAGAATAATAAGCAAGCTGTAAGTAGCTGTAATTTATTTCACTGATCTCAATTTCAACACAATTACCCAAAGTCCCTTTTTTTAACAGAAATACTTCGATTTTGAACATCAAAAATACTAAAATATAAGCAGAAGAAATCAGCTCCTGCAGGAAGAGTGAAGAGTGTTGCTGCCCCCTGGCGTCCAAATGGTGCAATTACACAATGACAGGCAGCCTGAAGAAGTGGTCTTACCAGACTGATTGGAGAGCCAGGTTGGTTGTTTTTGTTGAGCCAGTGGTTGACCCGATCTGACATTCCTGATGTGAAGCTTCTAAATTCCTGATAAAAACAAATATGAGATTTATTTATTTTTTTAAATTAAAGTCTTTATACATCTAACAGAGAGCCAAAAGAATAAATAAATATAATRTATTGTGAAAAACAAATTTACTTGTCTGGAAGCTCCAGGACTGGTAAGGTTCTGATCCTTCTCGTCTTTCTCAAAGAGGCTTCTTTTCCTGGAGACTTCTTCCAGCAGGACCAGGGTCCTCTGGGTCACATCTGGAGACCGAGCCACTTCAGATTTCTGAGGACAAACAGGAAGCAGAACTGATGTCGACAATGAAGCCACCATTCTCTGTAAATCCACTACTGTGCTGTGTAAACCTTTGGTTTTAAATGATCATTACGTTTTTTTTTCTCAGTTCAGAAAAAATCTCATGAAGAATTCAAAATAAAAGATGCAGGATGACAACAAAGATAATCAAAAACGCTGAAACTAATTACATCACATCACTGAAAGGTTGGCACAAAGGAGGCTGAACAATAATAATCGTGTACAAATAAACTCAAAGGGTTTTCTTTTTTGTTTTGACTTGTTTTGTGCAAAATACTTAGGGAACGCATTAGTCAAGAAGTCAGAGCTTGAAGTCATTTGTTCAACACATTTTGAGCAAATAATTTTTTATGYATTTTTAAGTTTTGCAACACAAAAATTTGATGATGATGATGATGATGTACATTTTCACTGATTCCATTATACATTAAAAACCCAGATGATAAAAAAATCATTACAAATAAAACCAGCTTTTTAAAGAAACAATCRTACCAGTGTTTCCAAAGTTCAGATGTGTAACATATATGTTGTAGTAATGCTGTATACAGCATTAGTCAACGTTAAGATGAYTCCATTACCAGACTCACTGAGTCGACAAATAAACTTACATAAAGAATTTCTTAAAACATTTGACACCTAAACTGAAAAAGTGTAAAACCCAAATGGAGCTTTAAATGTCTGATGTCTATAAGAAAAAAATCATCTGCCTTAAAATAAAAATGATCATATCAATGTGAGAAATAAAAAAAAACAGGAAGTATTTGAGTAAAAATAAGTTCTAAACAACTAAAACACATAATTCAGAGAGAATTAAAATTGGCACAAAAAGGCACTTTCCAGTTTCTTTCAATTTATGGTTTTGTTTTTATTATTATTTTATAACATGTGTGTGGACGGGTTTTTCCTACAACGTAGAGACAATTTTCCCCTAAAAAGGACCGAAGTGAAACCCCTAATTTTGCATTTGGACCTGTGGGGACCTGGCATTGGTCCCCACGGGTCCAAATGCAAATTACAGGGGTGGGGTTAGGTTTAGGACCAAGGTTTAGGTTAGTTTTAGGGTCAGGTAAGGTACCTGTGAGGTTAATTAACTCATAAACTCATCTTCTCATATTCTTATCTATTCTTTTGTATCTGCATACCTTTCTGACTGTCAGAAACKTAATGACCTTTTTCTCCATCACTGTACCTCGCTTCTCATCATTGTGTCTATATTCTCCCCCATAGAACTCTGTCACTTCATTTTTGGACCACAATGGAAATAAGTGTTTCTCACTTTCTTGTGTTATCCAAGTACTAATAATGAATGTACTAGATGTGTATGTACATGCATTATTACTGCTAAATAAAATCAATCAGTTTTAGGCTATATGGTCAGGGTTAGGCTATAAAATCTAAAAAAAAAATGAATGCAAGTCAATTGAAGGTCCCCACAGGTTTAAGAACAAACACGTGTGTGTGTGTGTGTGTGTGTGTGTGTGTGTGTGTGTGTGTGTGTGTGTGTGTG